TGGCCTTGCCTTTGTCCCAGCCTCCGTTGAAGACCGCTCCGACCGCCTCCTCGCTGGAGGCATGGTTCGTGGCGACGTCGAGCAAGTCGCGGGTGGTACGGGGCTTTAGGCAGCCAAGCTTGTGGATCAGGGACTCACAGGTTGTCCCGGAGAGGAATGCGTTGATGATGTCCACGTCGATGACATTAGGGAGTGAGTTGCATCTTTTGGAGAACCTACGGATGTAATCCCGCAGGGGCTCACTGGGCTCCTGCTGGCAGCTCTTGAGGTCCTAGGAGTTCCTAGGGCGGACATACGACCCCTGGAAGTTCCCAACGAAGACCCTCTTGAGATCCACCCAGTCACGGATGATGTCGTGTGGGAGGAATTTGAGCCAAGCTCGAACATGTTCTCCTACGTAGATAGGGAGGTACTGAATGATGAAGTGGTCATCATCCGCTCCACCGGCTTGGCAGGCGAGCCAAAAGTTTTCAAGCCATATGCCGGGGTTCGTCTCCCCGGTATATTTGGCGATGTTGGTAGGCGGTCAGAAGCGCTGTGGGAACGGTGCTCTCTGGATGCGTCGGCCAAAGACCCGTGGTCCCAGGCCGTCCGGACTAGGACTCCGGTCGTTTAGCCGACGATCGCGCCTGGGGTGCATTTCACCACTCCCCGTGATGGTCCGACCAGGGCCCATGTCGCCTGCCCTCACTGCCGCTCGGTGGACGTCATGATCATGCTGGGCCTGACGCCGGTTGCTGATGATGCTGCGAGCATCTTGGTTTGGCCCGAGCCGCTCGTGCACAAGGGGCCGGTGTGGAGCGGGCACCAGGTCGGACCATGGCGCAGTTGTAGCCTCCTGTGCCACGTTCGGCGGCTATAGTGGCGAGCGGATGGAGCGATTCGTCTGGTGCGTCCCCACTCCCCTGGTGGGGAGAGAGGCCACAAGTCGGTGTCGTGATGCGGAGCTCTCCGCCTATTGAACGATGGCGGTCTCCACAAGCGCCCAGAGGTTCCGGTGGACCGCCCGCTCCTAGGGGTCGACAGGCTCGGGGATGCCGCGCAAAAGCATCGCCGTAGCGGCAATATTCTGACCGGCCCGAGCGAACTATGGGGGATTGTTCCCTCCGTCCATGATGTTGAGCTGGACCTGGCGGGTGCGACCTCGGGCGCCGCTCGCCGGGTTACGCGCACGAGGCGCAGCGTGGCGCGCCGAGCGCGCCGGCGCAGGTGGCGGCTGGTTCTACCGTTGTTGTCATAGCTCCTCGGCGTGCTCTTATGCGAGCGCGAGGGCCCCCACATGAGGGTCTAGAGGGGTGTGAGTCTGCAAGGACTCCGCTACCACATGTGGCTGTCCCGAAGCGTCCGCCATAGCACACTCCTAGGACAGACGGTGGCTAGGTGCCACGTCGCCGATGCTGGAGCCATCACTCTTAACCTCGTCATCTACGAGTTCGTAGAAATATGTGGGAGCATAGCTCGCCATCCCCACGAATTCGGATGTGAGAGGAGGCGGCGTCAGCATTTTTCGGAGCCCCCAGGCATAGGGGAACCGGTCGTACGGTGGTTGCGGTGCGGACAACGCGGTCCCTCCGAATAATCGGCGAAAGATAGTAAATAGCGAGTAAATAACGGTATGTACATTACTCATAGCGAGGTTTGAGCAGAGCATTTGCTCGGAATGAAGCGCAGGCGCCTCGTCGTCGAAGTCATCGTGTGTCCCGGAGCCGATGGAGGGCGCCCCTCCGACGGGCGCCAGAACAAGTGCCTCCTCGTGGAGGTGTAGTACGCCGAGCCGGTCGGCGACGAAGTCTAGGCTTCCGAAGAGTAAGGCCTAGGATGGCTCGAAGATGGGTGGAACTCACATCCCAACATGTGGGAGTACGGGAAACTCCAGGGAGCCGAAGCGAGTCGTATCGCTTGAGACCGTCATGGTGAAGGTGGCAGAAAAGCGGGCCAGCCGATGACCAAAAGTGTGAACGTACAGCGTCTTCCCCACGGACGGCACCAACTGTCGGTGCAGAAAGTGACCAACACGTAAATATTTGTAGTTTTGTCATACGTTGTGATCGGATATGGCCTAGCACTCAATGACACATGGTTTATACTAGTTCAGGCAACGTGCCCTACGTCCAGTTTGAGTCGGTCGATAACTTTATTCCTAAGCCCAGGTGCTCGAAGTTTGCTGTGGGGTTACAAACAGAAAGAAGAAAGACGGGGGTGCAAGAGGTCCGGTCGGACTCTGGTCTGAAGGGCCGAGAGTGACGGGAGCTCCGATATGTGCTAAGTGTTCGAGCGTGTGCTCGAGGTTTGAACCTAGTGGTTCTGTTGTTGTGTGTGGGTGAACTGATCGATCCCTGTCTTTGGGAGAGAGCGCATCCCTTTTTATAGATAAAAGGGATGGCTTTACAAGTGAGAGGAAGAGTGTACGTATGCTAAGTCTTGTTGCCCACGCCGTTGGGTATAAGATGATTGTAGGCGCCCATAACACTGTTAATGTCATATGCATGTGGGAGGTTGCGTCGTCTTCTTCTAGTATGGTAGACGTCGGTGCCTGCCATACTGTTGATGCCTAGAGGCATGTAGGGTTTTTTACCATGTTCGCCTGGTGCGGTAAATGTCGGCGCCCACAACACTGTTGATGCCCAAAGGCATGTAGGGGGAGCCTTACCATGTTTGCCTGGTATGGGGGTCGATGGCGCCCACAACACTGTAGGGAAAATATCGGCACCCACAGCACTGTTTGGGTTCTGACATGCCAGAGAGGTTGTAGGGTACTGTCCTGCAGGTGTACAGGGTATGGTTCTCGGTATTACGGTTGACTTGAGTGCCCTGCCTTACTTACTCCGTCCGTTTTCTGGTCCTTACTGAGCGGGCGTCCCCGGTCGGTTGGTCCAGTCGGCTTTGACTGCGCCAGTCGGAGAAAAGCTGTAAGCAGGGGTTCGGCGCATCCTCGGTCGGAGACCCGGGTCGGAGTTGAAAGTGGTGTTTTGGCCAGGCCTTCCGGTCGGATAGGTCGTCTGGAGGCGGACCGGAGTTGAAAGTGAGCGTTGTTCCTCTTTAGCGAGGCCGTCCTGTCGGAGAGGCGGTCCGGAGTCGGAAGCGGGCGTCGTTCCTCCTCGGTCAAGCCTTCCGATCGGAGATTGGATGGCCCTCCTGGCCTGTCGTTTAGGTATTTGGGCCGGCCTAGGAGTTGCGCGTCGTTCGTAACGTTGTCTGCTGGGCCGAGCCTTTGTTGAAAAGCTGGTCCATGAGGGACCCTGGGTTTATGAACCCGACAAGACCCAAAATCAGCCTCCAACAGTGTACCTATACGGGAGACTTATTTTGGGTTGTCTGAGAGGCACAACCTAAATATAGGCATCTCTCTCCTGGAAACCCATTTGCAGAAAGGATTCTCTTTTGGGTCTTGTTGTTGGAGAAGATGCCGAATAGGTATTGGATATTTTGTCTGTAGCGTTATCCAAAAGATGAATGGGTGTTGTATTTTGAGTGTGGTTGGTGGAGATAGCCTTAGGTCGGCATCGCTCGCCTGCTGCGCAGCTCCACTGTTCCAGCTCCCGATCAAGGACCTGAGACCGATGCGCCGCCGCAGCTTCCACGCTCGTGCTCGCCTAGTCGTCCACGCTATCCGCGGATCACGTCCGGCAATCGCCGGCGGCTCGCCTCCCCCAACGCCCAGCGGCTCGGCGCCCACCACCCCGGAGCCTCGGCCAGTCGAAGCTCCCGCCGTCCGCTGTCCGCCCTCTTCCCATGGCGGCGTGACTCACAGCCGGCTGCCCCGCCCTGTGCCAAGGCCCTCGGTAGGCCTAGGTGGCCAGCTGGTAGGTGGCCAGGGCCAGCCCCTAGCGGGCCAGCTCCAGCCTCCAGGCCTGCAGCTCGCCAGCTCCTGCCCTGTACTCAGCCTCATAGGCTTAGAGTGCCCAGCTCTACAGGATTTTTTATTTTGGTGATCAGGTGATGGGTGGGGGAGTAGATGAAGCTCGAGATGTAATTGGTTCAAACAGGGGCTTCAAAATTGATAGGTTCTGTACTGTATTTGCTCATAGAAACATGTAATATTGATACTGATATTAAAATGTAACATCTTGATTCTTATCGGTTGTTTTACAACTTTTGACTGTAACATGCATGTTGCCGTTGGTTAGCCAAAATTTTATACTATAAGTTCGTCCTAGGTCATTTCTTGGGCTGGATTTGCCACTGTTCGTGTATGCCACGTCTTGTTGCTATGTGAATAAATGAAAATCCTTGTATCAGGATGACACATTACGGTTTTCATATTATTGTTGTTTGATGGATGGCCACAGAGATATTAGTCACAGCTGAACCAATAGTATTATCCTCTCACACGTAAATCAACATAAGCATCAGCATAAGCCAAATTTTAGCGAAACGAACAGGGCCAGTATATGCAAACATTAAATACTTACAACTTTGTTACAGTCAGCCTTGTAGCTAGCTGTATTGTTAGCTGTAAGTGACATGACAACTGTATTTAGACAGCAGCTGGCTAAATTATTAGCCATGCTCTAGTGTGGTCGCTTCAACTTTGTATTGCACTTCACGTGCTCCGCACCTCCCTAAAGAAAGACATATTAGATTCTGGTTACGGTACAGATGCAGATACCAGAAAATTTATCTTGACAGAAATATTTGACATGGCAAATAGCTGAGGCATTCGCTGTGCAGAATTCTTTGGCCGTAAGAGTTACAATTGGCTGGTGAAATCAAATTACTTATTCTCAAAACGGGACACAGAACACAATGAACAAACATCCATTGGTAGCAATATGAAAACGACCAAAACATCACAACAGCAAGAAACAATCATATACTGCATCCACACAATGACACAAACTTTGATCACTGATCTCACGTTTATCCATCCAGCTTGTTCCAGATCGAAATAACCATATAGTTTAGGACTTCATAGAAGAATCTATGCATCAAGAGAAAGTTATGGCTTACGGCCCAACTATCAAGAGAAAGCAGCAAATACTGACAAGTAAATCTAGACTCTAGAGCAGCATGGGTATGCTATCTGGGGACTCCATGGTCTCGTCATCATCGACTACATCCCAACTATCGTCTAAGCCAAAACTGGCATAAGAAACATCATCAATCCTAGGTTCCAGAGCAGATGACCAGTTGCATTTAGATGTGAATGATTCACCCAAACTGCTTGTGGATCTTGCTGATCTCACCAAGCTAGACAATCTCGGTGAAACTAGTTGCTGCGGTTCATCAAAAGTGGAGCTAGACAGGATCGGTGAGACTACTTGCAGTTGTTCATCAGAAGCCGAGCAAGACAAAACTGGTGGAACTTGTTGCAGTGCTTCATCAACAGTAGACCTTGACAAGATCAATGGAATTTGTTGCAATTGTTCATCAAGAGCTGAGCTAGCCGAGACAAATGGAAGTTGTTGCACTGGCTCCTCAACAGCCAAGCTGGACGAAGACAATCTAAATGAAATATGTTGCCATTGTTCATCAACTGGAATCTGAATATCCACTCTTAGCTTAAGCTTTGTTATGCTGTCAAAGATTCCAAGCATTTCCACACTGATAAAAAAAATGGTATGTCAACATTTTAAAGAAAAACGGAGGACAAGCATTGAACATTCCGATATATAGAACCATGAACTATATCGTTTTTACAACACTTACTGCAATGCATCCACAACATGTCCTCGCTCTGTCAGTAACTCTCTCAGCTGTATCATAAAATTAGCTCATATTAGCCATTGTTTATTAAAGCATGACTCAAGCACTGCACCTCTGATCAGAAGTCAATGTTGGTCCTTTATAGAACATATAGTTGTTACCTTTGCGTTCTCCTGTGCTTCCTGTTCCAACCTCTTAGACTTGTTCTTTGCTGCTTCAAGAAGGAGTTCCTGTTCATTAAGACTTTTCTGAGCTGATGCTTCTCTTTCAAGCTTTGCCTTCTCAGCAGCTGCTCTTTCTGCTTCTGCAGCAGCAAGTCTTCTTTGAAGAGTATCTTGCATCTTCATAGCATACATGACAATATGACATACATGTAAGTTTATGAAAGTGTGAACAATGGACATAGGTTAAAAAATCATATAAAACTAATGAGTCGAGAACTGGGAGAGATTCATATCATGAATAAATCTTTGGTTGTGGACATTTCCATTCACCAATTGACTTGGATTAGGGTAATGTCCAAATGGTAACTGAAACTTACCCACTAGACTTCAAATTACTTGTCAATTTAGTTGTCTTATCTTTATTAAGTTCAACTTTTATATTCTGACTACCACTCCATGGAGGTAACTTTCATGGTGAATCTAAAAACATAAATAAATCTTTTTAAGGTTTGACTTTGGACAAAGCTAATGACAACTAATATGAAACAGAGGGAGTAAATTAAAAAGATGGCCTTTACTTGAAATTGGCTTTGCATGCATTAAACTCCGAGAACCATTTCCAGTAGTGGCGAGCATAGAAGGCACAAATCGGGGAGCTAGTGCACCAGAAATTGCAGTCCAAATGAAAGTGTACTTTGGAAATGAATCTTAAGGTGTGGTTATGTTGTACTGCCTCATTTTATTTTTGTAATAAGGTGTGGTTTAACTTGAAATGGTCTATAACGTTACAGATTGATCATTAATACCTCATATATTACAATTTTAATAATGACTATGACATTGATATAAAAGTATTTTTAAAATATGGATCCAATGACACCAAGTTTACATTGTACAATCTACAAATATTTAGATTAAGTGTTATTCAAAGAATAACAGGTATAAATATTGGGCTGCGTGTTCATAATCCGTATTTTTTAGATTATAAGTGTTAATCAAAGAATAACAAATTTGAATCTTGGGTTACCGGTTGCATGTGTGCACAAAAACAAATGGAGATACACTCACCTGGAAAGTGTTGATATTAAGTACATTTAAAATTTTACAGAAAAACAGATGAATTACAGTGCAATAAAATATTTACCTTATCGATAGCCAGCACAAAACTTTTTGTTTCTTCAGAAATGTTGGACAACCGACATTGAAGCTCCTGTGCTTCTGCTGCTAGAATAGATTTTTCAGCAAAAATCTCCCCTTCCACCTACATATTGTAAAGAAAGGAAAGAAATAATTTTATCTGGCAGTCTACAAAAAACAAATGTTGGAGCATTCATAAAAAAAAAACTATTGCATGCAGAACCTTGTTGTTTTCTCCAACTGCAAGAGTTGTCATCTCTTTTAGTTCCTCAACCTTTACAAGAACATCATTACCAGCTTGGCTTGCTTCTGAAATAGCACGTTTTGTATTTTCTTCATTTATTTCTACCTCCTGTAGCATTTCACTTATTGCAACGACATTTGACATCAGGGCATTCTGAGCCACACAAAAAGAGAGATTGGCAATTAGCTGTAGTTTCTAGTATTAGAGTTACAAAGAGCACATAATATATCATATATGTATGCCTGCAGTCAACTGCATGAAGACTTTGCATGCAAATCAATGCTATGGAGTAAACAACATAATGACATTAATAATTAAATATGAGTATATACACACACAAAATAAACTAACTAAAAGCGGAACTTTGTAAATTGATCATTTATCATGAAAACTTTGTAAATTGATCATCTATCATGAATGTAAGCATCTGTACCACAACTTTTATTAACTGTAGAAACTTTCACTTGGTACAACTCTAAAAGTTATCTGACTTAACAAAAAAAATAGATTTACCTTTTTGTAATGTTCATTGGCAATGACATCATCAAGAGACTCGAGGTTAACAGAATTGCTTGATTGTACAGTCACATGAGGGGAAGCATCATCATGCAGTGACATATCACCTCCAGAGGATGAAAGCTCAGAGTTTCTCTCGGAATAGGTGTTTTGCATCAGAGAACCAACTAGCAGAGAACCAGAACTGAACTCTTCAGATATGCAATTCTGACCAGATGTTGATGGAACATCAAAAACTTCAGGACATAATCCAGTGAGGATATCTTCCTGTTCAACTGAGGTTTTGTTGGACAGGTCAAACTGTACAGAATTTGAATTTGTTTTGTTATCAAACGAATCAAGCCCTAAGTGTGTATTTGTGTCATCAAATGCCTGCTGATTTCCTGAGAGAGAACTTGTCAAATGGAATGATATGACTAAGTGAACAGATTAGGAAGGACTATGACTCTTAACTTTTCTAAGGAATATGACTACAAGATATTTAAGCTTCCCAAGCCCAAAACAGAAGACAAAACCTCGAAATCCACATGAAAATGTTTATTAAACACTGTGTTTTATCTTGTAAATCTAAAGGTCAAGTGCAGACCACTACTACAACATATCAACACAAAGATAAACATATAGATCAAAAGAGGTTTTTGGCATGTCTTAATTAAAGAAAAGTAGCATGCAACATAATAAGAAGTAAATAATAGACATTGAATGTTGTTTTGCCTAACATTTTTTAAGGAACCAACAAGTAATTGAAAGAACAGGATGGGAATTTACCATGAATATGCAAATCCTCATTTATGTTTTGATGACTGGGCTCTTGGACAATATTTGGGACGACATTCAGGACGATATAATCTGCAGCCGCATCAATGTCATCCTTGAACTGTATGGAAACTTCTATCAGTGTCGAGAAGTCAACCTGCATATATATATATATACAAAATTAGGATATATTAGAAACAGGTATACGATTTATAAGCACACATGCAACAAATCGACTGAAACAACAGTAAATACAAAGAGAGTTAATAGCATGTCACAAACTGTAGAATCTGGCCTAAGTTTTACAAATTTTGTGTGCGAGTCATAGAAGATTCAATAAAAAGGCACACTTGAACTAGTTTTGCTTACTTTCAAGAAAGAAGGCAACAAGATCAATGGATATTTTAGACAGGTCTTAATTTGTCATATGTACAAGCAACTCACCAATGAAAAAGTTTCGGTTTCCTGATCCTGATGCATCTAGCACCAATAAAAAATAATGAACTAAACCATTGTATCTATATCAGTTTGAATAAACATATATGCACACCCTGTTAACACTTAACAGATGTACACTAAAAGTTCATCCATACTTTAAGCTATGTCGAATGCTTTTTCCTACTCGTCGCAATAGATCTAGCCATTTGGTCCTCGAGGTTTTCTGGATAGATAGAAAAGGTCAATACTGTCTTCTTCGCTAAGTAATACCATACTGATGAATATGTTTGGACTTTGGCAACGCAGAGGAGGACCCACGACAAACTTGAGAAACTCTTCAGATAAACTACCAAGCACCAAGTTTTGCTTAACAGAAGTACAGAACAAGTAAAAATCTTACTTACTCGTGTTCAGAGTTCAGACACGATAAATCTTATTTAATCGTCGTGTTCAGACACGATCAGTCAATAGGAACAGGTATGAACTGGATTAATCGGCACTCACCTGCGGGAAGACCTCCATGAGGCCGTCCAAGACGGCGTCCCCCGTCATGGGTCCCGCGCCCTGCAAACCACACACGAAAACGCATGGTCACTAAGGCGATCGAGATCGCCACCAAGACCAACACAAGGAGGAGCGGATGCCGGCGAACAGGCAGCAGAGACGGGAGGGGTAATCCTGACCTCCGACGAAGAAGACGCACCCGTGATTTCTGTGCGCGACTTGATCAGGCGTGGCCGCCGGAAAGTGGAGGGGTTTCGACTTGGGATTTTTCGTGGAGAAGAGGGGTGGATTGTGAAGTCCGGAAGCTGGAGGCTGGAGAGGTTCTTCCGGGCGGCGGAGCCTGCTGCTACTTATTGGAGGGTGCAGTGCAGCTGGTCACGCAACGCGGGGCGTAGGAAACCCCGCTGGCGCGTGGTGCGATCGGTCCCGAGGAGGAAACCGGGGAGACGCGCGCGACCTATTGGCGCGTGAGCCGAGCCGAGAGACGACGATCGAGGAGTCCGTTACCGAGCTATACTCGGCGACACCCCTGTCCCCTCCTGCGCTGACCGAACGGTGCCGACTGTACGTCTGCCCAGCCGGCGACCCCATGTACACACAGTACCGGTGTCGATGTCATTGTCAACATGGTATCGGAGGATCGGTGCTTCGACCGCCAACGCCCAACGCATCCCAACCCTTTTCTTTTTTTTTTTTGCCTTTGCTCTACTCTATTGCACGCTTCTTGAGTTTGCAAGTACCTCTCGCCCTAACAGTCAATATGTTCTCTGTTTATTTGGTCTAGCAGCAATTTTCTCGTGGACAAAGACTTCTATGTAAGAGTTTCAGACTTTGGTCTAGCCAAACTTGGATTTGATATTTTGATAGACTTTGGTACTAGCTGCATAACTGTGTGTATAGTACTGTTTTTTTCTGGCTTTTCAGTTATGTTATTAGGAAAGTAGCTTAGTGAAATCGAAAGAGTGTTGTCCTTTACGAGCTCAGTCTTAAATTGCTTTCTGGTCTTGTTCTACAAGTGAAATCGATTATGCTTTTTTATTGTTTGCTATTTGTTATCATACAAGATTAAGTACCTGCTTTATCTTGATCCTGACAAAGGTCCCGTTCGCTGGTCTGAAACTTGACTGAAAAACACTGTTCCGACTGGTTTGTTGTGAGAGAAAAACACTGTTCGGCTGGTTTGATGAACAGTAACGCGTGAGGGGGACCAGCCGGCTGGCTGGTCTCTATCAGACCAGCGAACGAGCCCAAAGTTGATGGAGCTAGCTTCATATTCCTTGTCCTCATTCACCTCAATCTGTGTTTTTGTTTTTATGATGTATGATCCCAATAGTACCCTGAACTAATAAATTGTTCTTAAAACGGTGCTTGTTGCATTGGTAGATGGTCATTACCTTGTCAATTCTTCCTTTTTAGAAATCTTCAGTTCTTGACCAGTAAGCCTTGACATAATAAGGTTGCATCCTCGTTCTTTTTCTTGCTCCTGTTATGATGCCTATTCTCTCATTCTCTGCTGATGTTTGCCATTTTTCACATTCTTTGCCGAGAAACAAGGAGGCAAATGGATAAGTCGTTCCACTTTCTAAAGCTTCCAATTTTCACATTGTTGTAGAGAAACAAGGAGGCATGAGTTATTCCACTGTCTAAAGCTTGCAATTTTCACATTGTTATAGAGAAACAAGGACACAAATACAGGGTTGTTGCATAGAGAGAGTTTTGTATAGAGAGACACATATCATGTTTGTTATTTAGGGACCGTCTGAATGCCCTTCGGATTCAGCAAACTGGATAAAAAAATCCGCATTGTCTCCAAACGGGATGGATAATGGGAGGGATAATAAAAATCCCACAACCAGAACGGCTCTCTAGAGTGTGCACGAGATATAGAAAAAATGTTGGAGAGTGAAAAGATATAGAAAACGATTTTTATGCAAATAACTCTTCAAATAATGATTTAGAGAATGAGATTTAGAAAAGCTCTTGGAGATGATGTTAAATAATGATTTAGAAAGTTTCATGTGGAGATTTAGAAAAGCTCTTGAAGATGATGTTAGAGAGAGATTAGATGCCCAAGAGGGGGTGAATTGGGCTTCTAAATTTCTTTGCAATAATTAAACTCTGTTATATTGTGCCTAGAAAGTGTTTCTATTGATCTAACGAAAAAGTTTAGCACCCTAAATTCCAATCCTACTCTAGCATGGCTTTTAAAGTAAAGAGAAGAATTGAATTGCTCAAAGTAAAGAGAGAAGGAGGAACGCAACAATGTTTTGCCGATGTATCGGAGAGTTGCCACTCCCCACTAGTCCTCGTTGGAGCACCCGCGCAAGGGTGTAGCTCCCCTTGATCCGCGCAAGGATCAAGTGCTCTCTACGGGTTGATTCTTTGACTCTCCGTCGCGGTGAATCACCCACAACCGCTCACAACTTGAGTTGGGTCATCCACAAGCTCTCCGGATGATCACTAAGCTCCCAATCACCACCAAGCCGTCTAGGTGATGGCGATCACCAAGAGTAACAAGCATGGACTCTCACTTAACCACGACAAGCCTAATGAGAAGGGTGGATGCACACTTTGTTACTCTTGATTTCACTAATGAGGGCTCTCTTTGGGATTCTCAAATCACAATCACCTCACTAGGACATTGCTCTTCTTGGCACTCTCAAAGGTGTTTCTCAGCTGTTAGAATGAGCAAAAGTACCTCCACACACGAGTGGAGGTGGTATTTATAACACCGGCTGAAAAACGAACCGTTATGTGCCTCTGCGGGGTGACCGGACGCTCCGGTCATGTTGACCGGACGCATCGATCAGTTCACCCCGAACTCCAGTGTTTAAAGTGTGACCGGACGCGCCCGGTCGTGATTTTCTCTCTCTGGAACCTTACTGGAGTCGACCGGACGCTGCCCTCGTCCGGTCACTTCACCTCTCAGCGTCTGGTCGTACTAGACGAAAACACCTTGGTCAAATGAACTGACCGGACTCTGCGCCAGCGTCCGGTCACACCGGAACCAGCGTCCGGTCAGTATTTGACCCTCCATTCACTTCCAACTCTCGATCATACGTGAATGAAGTTTGCTCCATTGGATCTAAGGGCTATTTAGAGCTACCTAGTGCTAGTTTTAGCAAGTGTGCACCACACATAACCCATTAGACTCACCTAGGTCAAGCTACCCGTCCATACCCCCTTAATAGTATGGCCAAAGGAAAAACAAAGTCATAAACTACTCTAAGTGTCTCTTCAACACCAAACGACACTTAGAACTAGTCCATCCTTAACCTTGTCGTCCATCTTTTGAAAACCGAAACAATTTCCATCATAGGGGCATGACCACCATGATTGCCCAATCGATCTCCATTACCATGACCTAATTTAATTGCCTCTGCAAAACACACGTTAGTCATAGTAATCACGTATTGTCATTAATCACCGAAACCCAACTAGAAGCCTAGATGCTTTCAGAGAGAACGAGTTTTCTTGTGGGAGGACAGAGATGTCATCATGATCTTGTGCGTCAAGAGATAGAGAGCTGTCTTTGGAGATTTCATGTTTTTCATTTAATCATCCGAACAACATTTGAAATTGATAGGAAACAATTTCATGTCCAACCAAACAAGACAATTGAATCAAATTCTGCATATTTTATTTCCTATTGAATCTAATTCCAAGAATCAGATTTCTAGAACGAGTTTCAATTTCGGGATCCAAACAGGGCCTTAAGGATATAGCAAAACCAGAATGCCCAAACACCATGACTAAAAGGGGTCACTAAAGTTTAGTGGCTTTAATCACCAAGGGGTAACCAAAAGTAACTAAAAGTGAATCCAGATGACTTTACTCTATTTGTCTCTCCTTTTTTTTCACTTTTAGCCTATTTTTAGCACATGGATCCAAACAGAATGGGTGACTAAACTAGAAGGGTGACTAAAGAAACCAAATGGGTGACTAAACTCTAGAAGGGTGACTAAAGAAACCAAACATACCCTGCAACAATTCAATTGCAAGTACAAGAATACACTGGAGGCGTACATGTACACAAAAAAAAACATCGATCGCACGTACTCCTAGACACACTCTGAAGAAGTCTGAACAACTCAACTCCCAAAGTCTGAAGACGGACTCCTAGACAGCAGCAATGTCCAAACAGTGGCCGTCACAATTCCATGGCACCTCCTTCCGCGGGTCCAGCTCCAGCAGCAAGCCAAGCCAAGCCGTCTCCCAAGGCCCGGTAGCTCTCAGTCACGTTGTCGCTCAGCACCGCGCCGTCCAGCGTGTCGATGGCGCGCTCATACTTCCCCGCCTCGTCGCTATACCTGTACGCCTGCGTCGTGGCCGCGGACCCGTCGAGCACGTCGTGGTCTCTGACGAGCATCCACCCCACGGCGGCCTGCTCATCCACCACCTTCGTCTCGCCATCAAACAGCCCCTCGGCCTCGGCGTCCGTCTCGACGATCAGGGAGTGCGTCAGGTTCGCCCGCATCACGTAGGTGCCGTTCTCGCCGTCCTCCGTCACCATCTCCAGCCACAGCGGGTACTTGGCCTCCGTCTCCACCTTGCCGACCTCCTTCCGCGTCTCCGACGACCGGACGACGACCTCCGTGTCCTGCTCCGCCTGCAGCCGGACGGTCTTGTTCCTGCCCTGGTCGGTGAACTCCACCAGGCTGGTCGCCTCCAGCTCCGTCTCCACGTCCGTCGTGAAGTTACCAAACGACGAATTCACCCACCCGCTGAACCGGGACTTCCTCTTGGCACGGATCTCGAACCTCCCGTCCAGGGGCTGCCGGGTGTAGTACCGGCGGGTGATGGACAGACGCGGCGTCCTGTACCGGCTGAGCGCGGCCGACACGTTCGGCGAAGCGGGGTCCAGCCACAGGTGCAGGTTGGCGTCAACGAGCCACTCGGCGATGCCGTCCACTACGCTTAGGACGATCTCGTGCGCCTTGCCGTCGACCAAGAGCCCCAGGAACGGGGTCAGCTCGACGTCGTACGTCGGAAGGTCGAAGGCGCCCAGCGCCGCCACCGGCTGCCAGAACAGCGGGTTGATGCCGCCCGTGTAGATCACGGGGAACGGGCTGAACGAGCCGGCGAAGTGGCCGTCCACGCTCACGACGACCTCGCGGTACGCGGCGTTGCCCCGTCCGGTGGTGAGGTCGTTCTCGCGGATGTAGAGGTCCGGCGGGTTGGAATACCAGAACTCGTCATTTGAGTGCGGGGACACGAAGAACTCCAGGACTGCGCGGTAGGTGTTCGACGGAATGCTCACAAGCTTGGACCGACAATCCGACGAATTCTGGATGCGGAACCAGAAGCCACTGCTGTTGCCCGTGCCCTCCGAGATTGGCAGGATCAGGTCCGCCGGCTGGAAGTACGATGCCGGCAGCTTTTGGCCGGGGTCCGCAGAGCCGGCAGCTGAGGAGGACCCCCCGTCGTTGACGAGGTAAGCAGGGGCGCCGTGGAACTCGAGGGACACGCTGACGTTGTATACACCGGTGTACACGTCGTTGACGAGGTTCTCCAGCATAACAGAAAGCACGCCGCCGGGCGGGGACCGGAGCAGCGCGGAATAGCGGGTGACGTCCTTGCGGACGGTCCAGCGGACGCCGTCGGGGGTGGGCTCGGCGGTGGTGGTGCGGAGTAGCTCGGCGCCGTCGAGCCAGACGGCCGCCACGCGGTCGTACTGGTCACCGGCGATGGCGACGGAGAAGGAGAGAACGACGAGGGACCAGGGCGCAGGGCACCCGGCCGGCGGCGCATACGCGGCCTTGGCGGGGGGCGCGCCGTAGGTGTTGGCGAAGGAGTAGGAGAGCACCGGCACTACGCAGGTCGGCGCCACCGGCGGGGGCCGCGGGACTGGGTAGGTGGGGTCAAGATACTCCTGCGCCGGCGCATTACTGAGCCCCGTTCTGGTGCCCGAGCCCACACGCGGGGAGGCGTAGTGGTCGGGAACCTCGGAGAGGGCCGGGACGAGGAGGAGTAGGAGATGGAGGGGGAGGCGGAGAGGCGGCGCGCGCTGCTGCATCTTGCGCTGCTGTGGCGACTGCCGACTGGCGAGGCGAGATGCGTGTCCTGTGATCCTGTCTGGCTGTCCCCCTTCTTGGCTCGAAGGGGAGGATTGAGGACCGAGGGAAACACGGAGTGGAATCACTGATTTCTTCGGATCATCGTTGAATAGACCGAGACTTTTTTTTTTGTATTTTATACATAATATATTCTTTTCCAAAATAATTAGCTGGATAAAAGAATTGTAGGAATTTATCTATTTCGCGTGTTGAAATGATGACATTTAATTTTCTCCTATTCAATGGCAGAAACTCCCTTACCTGGCCATCCAAAAAGCATAAGAGCATCTACACTTCCTAATCCTTGGTTCTTAGTTAAGATAGGAAAAAATTCCTCTCCAACAACTCCTAATCTTTCCTCCAAAAATTTAGGCACTTAAAAAATCCTCTCCCGACGCACATAACTTTGCGTGGAGTCACGGTCACGTGGATACAGCGTATTCATTGGCCAATTAAAGGTGGTAGGGCGGAAAAAAGAATAAATAGTATGAAAGAGTTTCAAATGTAAATATAAAGAGAGAAAGAATATATAAAATTGGTTAAAGTAATTTAGAAATAGTATATGATTCCTGATGTAAAATTGCCTTTTATATTTTAGAGTAAATTATTGAAAATTATTGAAGATGGTCTTCTTTTTTCTTCCAATACATTTTTAGGAGTTAGAAAACATGTGTTTTTTAAGGGAAATTTATGATACTCTTGGAGATGCTCTAACCTTATTGTACAAACTCAGAATGGAGATAAAATTCATATGAAAATTGTAGAGCTCTATCAGATATGTAATTTTATACTAGCTTACAACTTTTTGTTTAAAGTCGATGCAATATTCAGATCTACAAATATATATACTCCCTCCGTCCCCAAAATAATACAAATTCTAGAACAGTGTCATGTTTTGGTACATCAAGTTTAACTAATTATAGATAAAAAATATAAATATTTATAATATCAAATAAATATATTAGATTAATTACGGAATGCTTTTTTATAATAAACTTAGTCAAACGTGAAGCATTTTAATTGGCACGTAACCCATAGTTGCATCCTTTTAGGGACGCATGTAGTATTAAGGTTGTACTATCTCATCGAGCACTATAGTTTAATACAAATTTTATATTCAATGAAAAATTCAAATTTAAAAAATAAGCTACTATATGGTGAATAAATAGTCCTAGTTTCATCGACTCGCTACCCAAGAGCTACCATGCTAGCTTATTTGACTGCCCACCTTATCAAGGTGAAATTGGCTATGAGACATTAAAAGTGTAGTCATATTGTTAATGCACATTAAAAAATTCAATTAGCTGGTGAGTACTCTGGTTTGTGAAAAATTTACTGAACAACATCATGTCCATTAAAAATAAAAATATTCATTATTGCTCAGAAGGAGAGAGAACAACAATGAATATCATTTTTGCCCCAGTTCATTTCTTCTTTCTCCCTCTCTTCTATTAGTCCTCTCCCTTTTCTCTCTCTCTCTAATGCACCACGTCTCCCCTTGGCACAACGGTGGTGGACTTCGCCGATGAGGTAGATGGTGTTGTCGGGGAGGATTCCCGGCACTGGTGTTGTGCGGCTCACAATAGTGATGGTGCCCGCGGCCACGGATATGACCTCGCTAGTACTGTGTGACTGGGTGGAAGAAACGCATAGTGGTTGATGACGACGATGCAGACAAGGGATTTCGCAGCATCAAAATGGGAGATGGACAACAGTGTATGCGTGTGCTTCTAGGTGATCTTCCCTATCAGAACAAGGTATTAGGCATTGTAATTGCCGCAAATGAGATGGCTAGGGTCGACACCACCAATGGAGTGGAGGGTGCAGTCACCATGGGGGTGGTATGCATTGACGACCATTGTGGCCATAGTCGAGGTGAAAATACTCTAGCAAAGCGGTTGACGCCAATGATGACAACAACTGAATTGAAGAAGTGGCTAACACATGGGGTGCGACGCCAGCTTTGCCTCCATCATTCGCATCAGCCTCTCCATATTTTGAGAGCGTTGATAGCCGTAGACATGGGGTCAACAACAGTGGAAGACGTGGACACCGATGAAGCCTTAGCACTCGATTCAGGACCGAGCCACATGACGTCAACGAGCACGATGAACAATAGGGAAAGTACATGGTAGAATTTGTGGAGGATTTGAGGCTTTTGATATAAAAAATTGTCACAATCCTAGATTGTCAATCTTAACAATATGAACAATTGTAGTTCGAGGATACAACCTCTACAGAACTAGAGGAAAATTAGACGAAGAATAACAAGGAATCGAAGGGAGGCAGCAAAGAATAGGTACAACACTCTTTAATAGAGGAAGGCGACTTCGGTTCTCTTTTCAACCTCTTCTTTCATCGTTGTAGTTTCCTTCTGTAGTTTAAGCTACCTTTTTGGCATGGACTGAAAGCCCACTCGCTCGGCCATCCGTTTGTCGAGTATTATGGCCTAACTAAAGTCTGGTACATGACATGTGTTACTGTCAAAAAAATTCAAGACTTGCACTATGCATGTAAAATCAGAACTAGCACATGGGGTGCACTGGACACCGCTTACAAGTTACATGTTAACAAGAACTTCGTTTGAATGTCCCTAGCAGTTCACATTATTCAACAACAAAGCTTTCGTGATCAATTTTTTTTTATGTAGAGTATGCGGGTGCATAATATGAGTGAGTGTATCTATATTGTATTTTGAAAACAATTTCTTGATAGAAAACTATGGTGCAATTTATGTTCGCAATATGTAAAAGTAGGCATTTTTATGACAACATTTTCCGTTACACGGAAGACAGCTAACTGCAATGCATGGTCACAGTCGCATCATTATTATCAATCGAAGCCATCCTAAAGCCTACTTTTCCACATGCCCCTTTTGTAAGCTCAAACGCAGCTGTGCCATTGCGAGCACGACGCAGCGACCCCGACGGCGTCCAAACTCTGAACGCCAACGACGAGTCGCCGTTACACCCACGTGGCGACCCCCTAGCGGTCCGATCGACCGCCAGCCCCCAGTCTGGCCGCGGTCGCATCCAGCGGCCACCACGCTGCGCCATCGTTCTCGTCCTCCCTAAACGCCCCTTCCTGGAGACCTGCTTATACGGTGCCCCCGCATCGGGCCGTGGGAGGCGGGCTCTGTTTCTGACCCATCCATCGGCCGAGGGCGATGGCGGCGGCGGCGGGGAGGGCGCGGGCGGTGAGCCTGGTGGCGGCGGTGCGCGTGGTGGCGGCGACGGCGCGGCCGGCGTCGAGCGCAGCCGCGGCGGCGGGGAGGGCGCGGGCGGTGAGCCTGGCGGCGGCGGGGCACGTGGTGGCGGCGACGGCGCGGCCGGCGTCGAGCGCAGCCGCGGCGGCGGGAGTGGGTGCGGTGGCGTTGATCGTGCAGGGGGAGGACACGGCCTTCGGGTCGCTGGAGTGGTGGGCGTACGCGGGCATCTCCTGCTTCCTCGTGCTCTTCGCCGGGATCATGTCCGGGCTCACACTGGGGCTCATGTCGCTCGGCCTCGTCGAGCTGGAGATCCTCCAACGCAGCGGCACCGACGCCGAGAAGGCTCAGGCTGGTCCGATCCGAACCCCTATCCATTCCCTGCTGTTACCTCGTTGTGCTCGATCTGGTTGTGTCCTATGAGCGGGTTTGTTATATTGGTAGTGGGATCACTGTAGTGGCTTGTTACATTAGGGAATGGGGATGAGAGCGTTATATACTCATCGTATTCTCAAGTGTCTCTGCAATTTTGAACATTAGAGCGTCTTTGGTGTATGTGGTGAATTTTATCTGGCCCCTACCGTAAGTCTGCTAGATTTTGCAGGTAGCTGTAATGACAGTGAGGGTAAAACGTGATGCTAATGTTGACATATTGTTTACATACAGAAGTGTTTGGAAAAGGAAAGTAGAACAGACAAAAAAAGGTTGTAGTCAGGAATAAGAAAAAGCAGTTTGGATGGGATTCGTTCTTTTCTAAGATTCACCTCTTTCTGGTGAGATATGAAATGATACATCAGATAAGTGGGAAGTGGAAGTATAGAATGCAATGGACAATCATGAAAAGTAATCACTCTGGAGTTCCTGGATCTGCCATGTTTGTTTACTGGGGTAGCGTGCACTTCTGGTTTTGTCTTACACTCTTGCCTGATAATCACCAGAGTTGTTTAGTTACTAAAGGAAATGGCATATCTGGGCATCTCAGTTTTTTATCAGTTCATCCAATCCATATGTTAGCAATGTTAATTTTAAATATGGCGATAATTCTGCTTAGTCACTTTGACGGGCTACACATTGCCTCTCTTAGCATCTTGAGCAATGATTCTGCTTAGTCATTTTGACTGGTACACATTGCCTCTTTTAGCATCTCATTTTTAGTTAACAGCAGTCTATCGCTGTTCACTGTTGAAGTCCAGCTCAATTGTTGTATTTTCCCTTTGATTGATGCTTCGGCTGCCCCTCATGTTTTGTTTTATTTACCTTGTTTGCTGCAGCTACCATCCTTCCAGTTGTTCAAAAGCAACACCAGCTTCTTGTCACCCTGTTGTTGTGTAATGCTGCTGCCATGGAGGTAGAGTATTTGGATTGCAATCATATCATTATCACACTATTTTGTACTCTAGAAGTGCATACATTTGCTAAAAAAATGTATGGTAATATCAGAATTTCTGTTTGAAGCTTCTAATGAATTATTCCGGCATCAACACTTTGACCTTTTAACTCATTATTGGGAGAGAGGCACAGTGTTCTGAAGTTGTGCCTATCTGTTCAACATTTTTTTGGCACCATATCACCATGATTTCTTGTAATCCTGTTTGTGGTTATCTTACATTTTGGAAACTAGTAATTGATGAAGTTTAGATAAGATAGAGTATGGCACCTATTGCATTCACTATATAAGCTTATTTCTCCCTGTTGCTACTAGTTTCTTTCATCATCCAACTGCAGCATGGTCAGTTGTGTTAGTCCAACTGTATTGTTATTGGTGCATATATATCTGATCACTATTATTTGCTGTATCCTAAATCTACTATCAAGCTTCTCATATGAGTGTTCTTTCACTCAGTTGACACTCATGTACCCTTATTTCTTTCTTATTCTGTATTCTAAAGTCATTGATAGGTAGGGCATAGGTCACATATTTTTTTATGATATCTTTTGCACCCTATTTTGTTTTAACCATTGACTTTTATGTTTACCTCGTTGCGACCTTTGCAGGCACTTCCTATATTTCTTGACAGAATGTTTCATCCTGTTGTTGCTGTAATATTGTCAGTGACATTTGTTCTTGCCTTTGGAGAGGTATTGATCTGATGTCCAAAATTTACTATTTGCTCATTGTGTGGTTTGACTGATAGTGTAGTGTTTTGACGCCCAGGTTATACCACAAGCAATCTGTACCAGATATGGTCTGGCAGTGGGTGCTAACTTTGTATGGCTCGTACGCATTCTCATGGTCATCTGCTATCCAATTTCTTACCCTATTGGGAAGGTAAATCAACAAAATTGCATGATTCATTTCTAAGTGCCCACTATACTGTAATTCTCTATGCTCTCCTGTCATGGCATGTATTTTGAAATTTTGTGAATTGCATTATGATTGAGCTTTCACTTCAGAGTCATCTTTTTGTTCAGTTGTATGGCTTAGCTGATGTACTAGTTACAGACTGATATTTTGGTTTCGTCTGTTCTTGAAAACTCCAGTAACTTGCATGTGAGATATTTGATGACCTATAGGCCTCACAGCTAAAGCTAGTTTAATTTTTGTTATTTATCTTCTATTCAAGCAAAATTTCAACATTGCCAGTTTCTATATGGTATTAAATATGTTTAATACTCTCAGAAAAAAAGAATTTTTTTTAGTAGTTACTACACACTGGAAGCAGTGCTATTTTACCTCCAAGGAAAATGAGTTAACACAAACTTTGAACATAGGAAAGGTGCTAGTTGATGCATTTATACAAATAATTCACTAGGTGGTGCATTTATTGAATATTCAATACAAATTCCACACTTTTATTTCCTTCTAATAGAAGTTACTTTCTCCTTATGTTGATATGTATTCCTGATTTGTTGTCTGTTTCTGTTGGTAAGTATCAATTTACTGATTCCTCAAAAAAGTATCAATCTACTGATCTTGGTTCTTGAAAAGGAACATGATCTTTTTATAGGAGCCATAAAAAATATGATATTGTTTTGTAGAACATTCAGCACTCTATAAACTGTTTCATATTTTTCAGATTTAATTGATGCTTAAATGATCAGTGAACCCTTTCTTTGTAACTTGTAACCTTATCACATGTCATCATGTTGTAATCATCAAACAGTGCATGCTAATTCTCACTTCTCACTTCCTTTTTCATATTGAACAGTTGCATGTGCGATTTTCTTTTGCTACCTTTTGTCAAGCTTATTAGCCTATACTGTGAACTGCATTTTATCAAGTGATGATACTATCTTACATACTGGCCCGCAGCACAGGTGTAACTGGAAGTTCTATCTTAAAACTTTATATTAACTTAGAGTTAGCTGATAGAAGCTTGATATCTCCTTTTGTGTAGCAGGTATCGACCTTTTGTTACTAAAGGCACTTGTGATAAGTTGCCCTTCTACTATATACTACATGCTAAGTTCCTGTCATTGAAACCTGCATTTAATTTCTTATACAAATATGACTTAACGCAGATTCTAGCATGATGTGGCAACCTCATTGAGGTCGAATATCAATTTTACTAAATCGAGTGGCTGTCTGTACTCTGATTTATGTAGACGTTAATATAGTATATGTCTGTGTGTTTAGTAAAAGATGACTTGATTGCATATTCTGTAACATATGCATCTTTGGATTTTTAACATATGCATCTTTGGATTTTTTTTTTAATTCAATAATCCTTTGTTTATTTCTTTTTACTTGATTTATGGTCTATTGATTGGTTGCTGAAGTTATTGAAAACTGCCTTTCTCCTCAGATCCTGGACTGTGCTCTTGGGCACAATGAGTCTGCACTTTTTAGGCGAGCTCAGTTGAAAGCTCTAGTTTCAATCCATAGCAAAGAGGTAACATTATCATATCACTCTGCTTTAGAAGTTTTCATGTTCACCAGGGTTATGTCATAGTTAGAGCTTCTACCATAACAGGCTGGCAAGGGTGGAGAGCTCACCCATGATGAGACTACAATCATAAGTGGAGCCTTGGACCTGACCGAAAAGGTGTACATCATCTTCGTAATATGTGGCCTATTTTTCTTTTCCCAATAAAAAAGTAATGCTTATTTCTCAAGGAAACATTGGTCCAAATGAAGTTGGTAACTTGGTATAAATCCAGAAGCTAGTGCACTTGTTATTGTGTAAAATGGTTGTTTCTTTGGGATGAATTTGGTAGTATTAGAAAAAATGCGTTATGATTCTCTTGTCTTTTATATGCTACCTCTCAATAATAAACTAGGATATGTACCAGTATCCTGTTTTAGACTTGTATTTGTTTCATTCTCTGTATCTCCTATTTTTGTTTATAAGCAAGCATACAAGGGTTTCCAATTCACTGCTATGGTGCTCAACTAGAGATGGTTTAACGCATGTTGCAGTTTTTGTGCAAATAAACAACTTGCAAGTTTCCTTGTTGAGTTTGGTACAAGGTTCAATTTCATATATGTGCTGCTTAGAAAGCAAAGTGACATGGTGATTCAGGTTTTGCAGCACCTTGTCCACTGATGAAAAGTTCGCTTAATTTGGCTGACAATTACAGAACCTTAAATGCATCTAGTTGAATTTGGCAGGAATCTTATTACTCTGTGTGTGCAGACTGCTGCAGAAGCTATGACACCTATTGAGTCAACTTTCTCACTAGATGTGGATTCCAAGTTGGACTGGTAATAATACATGCCCGCTTATTAAACCACAACTCATGCTCATGTTCCTTATTATTGATCTTAATTCATTTTCTCTATGCTATGCTCTTATTTTGTTCTGTTATTCGTTTCTGTTTTACTGCATTGCTATTCCCTATTGACATAGATCTGTGTGTATAATTTTAGTACTTCTAGTTAGGGCACTGTAGTGAAGGTTAGGGTTGTGATCGTAGTACATAAGGATTGATGCCACTCATTTTTTGTGTTATCCAACATTTTTTTTTCTTGGAGGCAGATTCAAGACAGATAGTGGCATGGTGCCAGATAATCACTTGGCACTCCCATACTCCCTCTAGACAGCTTTATAAGGCGTTCTCCGGTTTTTCACATGGGCAGGTTTATAAGGCATGGCACCTTGAAGAAGACGCTCGTCGCTTTGTATTCCAGCGGCAGTAAATACACGCGATTAGACCATGCACTTGGGAACCAATCGTTGGCTTCATGCATGCATTAAATAGAATCTTCTAGGATTTTTCCCGTCAAAGCGTTTGCTATATGCATGTACTAATGGCGCACACAGCTTCCCACCGTTCTCCTTGGTATCTGGTATTTCCTCCGTTGCGCCTTAGAAAGCTGCCCGGAGGGAGTATTTGTTAACTGTTATGCAAACTTTCGGTCAACAACAACAACAAAGCTTAGTCCTGCAGAAGTTGGGGTAGGCCGGTAGGCTAGAGCTGAAACCCAACATGAGCCACTAACAAGAAGGGAAAAGAAAGAAGAAAGGAAACAAATATATACAGATGGACAGAAATTCTGCACTCCGTTTGCATCCCAACATGGTATATTAGGCAGTAGGGGTGCAATTGGAGTGATCTTGGAGATACTGATTGCTAAGATGTTGAACAGAGGACATGCAGTATTTTCTACCGGCTTATATGTGTCAATTGCCTATCATTATTATGTGCTTAAGTGCAATTACAATAGGTTTCTTTCATTCCTTAGAATATTCATCACTTGGACACCTCCAAACAAATATCACTCATCTGATATCCTATCTCATATTTTCCAGAGTCTGTGTCACACATTTAGTTCTGGATAACCATTTGTCTACTTATGTTGGTCGTGCGGGCAGAAATTATGTGTTCCATGTGCTTAAGTTTTTTTTTTAAAGGTTGAAATGAGCACTTGACATGACTAGCACCTATATGGTTCTATCTTGTACTTTCTGATATATATTAGCAACTTGCAAGCCCATTATGTAGTACCTGATAGGTGTTTCTTTGTACATTTGCAAAGCGAAACTTAAAATATGCTAGATTCTGATGTTTCATGTGATAATAGACATTTATGCACAGTATATATCCATAGCGTTATGTTATTCGTATTTTGTCAATAGAAACTCTTGTTGTTGTTGTTGTAGAAACTCTTGTAAATGACAACAGTCTATCGGTTTATTTGTTTTCACAGGGAAGCGATTGGGAAAATTCTTGCCCGTGGTCACAGTCGTGTTCCTGTATACTCAGGAAACCCTAAAAACATCATCGGTCTCCTATTGGTAAGATTCATTGATGCTGTTGATTATTATTCAGTGATTTTGTTTCCTTAACTAACAAAACGTTTTGAACTTAATAGGTTAAGAGTCTTTTGACTGTTCGTGCTGAAACGGAGACGCCAGTTAGTGCTGTTTCAATTAGAAGGATTCCAAGGTACACCCTTCATATGTTGGATTATATTCTTGCTCTAGATCTTTATCTCTCAGTATGTGATACCATGCTCCAGTTGGTGGAGTTTTGAAATATTTTCTTTGCTGTATCATGCCTGTAAGCTAACCTGTTTCCTCCCTGGCAAATATTTGATCAATCCTTTTCCAGGGTTCCTTCAGACATGCCTTTGTATGATATACTCAACGAGTTTCAGAAAGGAAGTAGTCATATGGCTGCTGTTGTGAAGGCTAAACCCAAAACTGAACCACTCCCTGATAAAACTGAACCAGATAGGGAAGCAGTTGGGCCAGCACAGTTGACTGTTCCCTTGTTATCTAATGCTGAAGAAAGTGCAGACAATGTGGTTGTGGATATCGAAAGACCACATAACAGGCAGGTTAATGGAAACCCAGCATCAAACGCAGTGCCTAGGTCATCAGAGGATATTGAGGACGGTGAGGTCGTTGGTATCATCACACTTGAAGATGTATTTGAAGAACTCCTACAGGTAAGTTGTAAAAATGTATTATTCCTCGGGGAGGTGGTTTTATCCTTTTATGTGATATGTCTCGGTTCAAGTTCTTTACTTTTGCAGGAGGAAATAGTGGATGAGACTGATGAATATGTTGATGTTCATAAAAGGTATGCCTCAACTTCAAATATACTAGTATTCTTCTGCCACTCTTCAACTTCTGCTAAGTAGAAAGCAACTAATTCTCACAATCTCACTCCCTTACAGGATCCGAGTAGCTGCTGCTGCTGCTGCATCATCGGTTGCAAGGGCTCCATCTGTTAGGAGATTAACAGGCCAAAAGGCTGCAGTAAGTACAACTTTTCTGGTACAGTTATATAAAATACGACCCATGCAGGCTGTAAAATAATAGTTTGGTATCTGGCATTCGTAGTATTAGTGCCAGTTTGTCATCATGGTGTTAAAACTTGATTAAAAAAATTTGAAGATGTGAGTCCTTGGTTTGGGTACCAGACAGCCACCTGAGCCATCTATTGCAGTGTTGGATGCTAGTTGTTCCTGTCCAAAGATTTAGTTTCCTCCCTTCCGTTATTATAAATTAAGTTATCAAAGTTGGTTCGACCTGTTAAATGCTCATCCTCTAGGAAATTAAACAGCAGATCTGATGGGCAAATTTGACCTTGAATTGACTTCTTGACCAACAAAATCAACACATTCAAATCGAGTGAGGTTGTTTTAAGTTCAGCTTCTAGATAGCTTATAGGCTTTGTGGGTTCTTTGAAGGTGACACAAAAAATGCTCATCTGTTTGTTGATGGTTTTGCTCTGCTCATTAATCTCTTCCCCCATATTCTTTTTACACAGTATTTATTGACTACATAGGAAGCTGACAGTAATTTCATATATTTCTTGTAATGTATTTTTATAATAAATAATATATATCCTTGGTTACTTAAGAAATCACATGTTAAATGAACTGTCGATAATAGTCTCTTGGCTCGAAACTTGTAGACCAGCAGAATATCCACTGGAGATGCTTTCTTATACGGCTGGATATTCTTTGTATACTTACTACTTGCATAATGAATTACTAAATAACTAATCCTGTTGATTTTGTAGAACCTTCAGGGAGCACAGAATCGCCAAGGACAGCAGCCTCCTGGAATTCTCAAGAAACCCACTGACGGTGATTCAAACCCATCAAAACAAGTGAACCTTGTGGAACCTCTTCTGGAAAAGAGGAGGTAACTCTAAAGTGCGTCAAGCAACATAGCCGATAAAACGCGCGGAATCAAGCTGGAAGAGCCTATGGTTCTTGCTATATTATAGCAAGAGGTACACATACAGATGAACCCATTGTTGTAAATTCCAACAGGAGCGATGTGCTTTTGGTGTCATGGACATTAGTGTTGAATTCTCTCTCTTCCGCCTCTCCCTTTTTAGTTATGGATTTCGAAAGTAGAAATAGCCACTTTTGAATCTATTTATGACCGCTCACCTGCAGAAGCAACTGCTTTATATATATGCTTGAAATTCGTAGATTCCTAGGCTTTATAGTTATTCATAAGATGTTTTTTTGATCGAAACGGACATGCTCGTAGTGTGAACCAGTCGAAAATACCTTGTTGCTGTATTTTTCTAAGGAAAAGGCTATTCCACGTGGACCACATTGGATGGTAGCTTGCATCTAACGCGGCGCCTCATGATCGTAGGACACTTGCAGCCTGAGTCTGTCGTTTGGCTGTGGCTTGTCGTAAACGATCGTAAATTTTTAGCCGGAACAATATTTTTTTCTTACATAAACCATCCAGCAATACTTTTTCACGAACCAGCAACGAAACCAGCCACCAGCCAACCGAATAGGCTGTTGGGTTACCGGATTGGGATTGGTCTGCATTATTTTATGATGATGAACCAACCAGAATCTTCAATTGAGTTGTAATACAGGGACCTTGGCTGCCAAGAAACCTTTAGCTACGACGTCAAGTTTCGTTGACTCAGTTCTTGGAAGCGCGCCTCGATACCGACTCGTCCGTGCACTACATATATAAGGAAAGACGAAATCAATGAGGCACATTCCAAATCCCTATACTCAGCCACCGAAAACCAACACGATGTATTAGCGAAGAAGCCCATCTGAATTCGAGCCAGACGCCAGAAAACATTTCCAAAAATAATGTAGCCCCCCGCATAAATTCTTCCCGTGAGTTGACCAGGCGTTTCTCCGGCGTGGTGGTGGCGATGGCACCCTCGGCGATGTGCTGGTGCAGCCACTGCGGCGCTGTCCGCCGCCTCCGGGCAGAGGGCGAGCTCGCGTCCTGCGCGGCGTGCGGCAGGGTCCTCCTGGACCTGCAGCTGCAGAAGGATGCGGTGGCGGCTCCACCTTCATGGCAGCTGCGGCGGCGCCAGAGGACGGCTCAAGACGGCGCCGTGGGTCGGGACGTCGGCGCGAGCCGCGAACGTGGAGATATATCGGACGCTGAGTCCACATCACCAGTACGAGAGGATCGATGGATTGAGAAGAAGTAACAGGAGATTCTTGACACAATCGATCGATTATTAGCACGTTACCGCATGAATCAAATGAAGAAGATATGATCTCGCGGTTAAAAAATTTTGTTGTTTTAGCCTTTTACAATCTGAAGTCAAAACATTGCTACCCTTCTTCAATCGCCAGCCTGTTCGGCTGGCTGCATGGATCGTGGCTGGATCGTGGATTATTATTGCTGGCTGGTTTGGTGTGAGAGAAAAATACTGTTCTGATTGAAAATTTACGATTGTATACGAGCAAGCCCAGCCTGCCGAACAGACTGTGCATCGTTTACTAAGACCCTGTTTGTTTCCACGTTTGAGCGCATCTACAATTGGCAGAAGCACCGAACAGGTCGTGACGGTGGGGTGAACGTGAACGCGCGTTCACGTTGGAGGCTCGCCGACAACGGTGCGTGAAACGCGAGCCCATCTTCGTGATTTGGAAAACGCAACGCTAGAGGCTCTCCAGCGAGGTGCGCGAAACGCGAGCCCAGCTCCAAGATTTGGAAAATGCCCACTCATTTTCTCTGGGGGAATTCCTCGTGAGCCATTAAAAAAGATTACAATTTCCTGTGAGCCACTGAAAAAGTTCAGCGGACTTCAGCGCCACTGCTCTAACTTTTTTTTTTGCCCTCCATGCCACTGCCGTCAGATTGGGCTCTAACGATGTCAAACTGTAAGTGTGAAAAGTCGAAAATACTCTTAAGTCTAAATATATCATTAATTTTTTTAGCATCTTAACGACTTCAAATGAAAAAAAACTCAAAACTAGAAAGTTGTAGATATCGTCGAGATTTATAATTTTTATATAAAAATTATCTTCATTTAATTTCGCAAAAAAAGATATGATTAATATATCTTAAAAAAATCATATCTTTTTTGCGGTATTAAAAGAAGATAATTTTATATAAAAATTATAGATCTCGACGAGATCTACAACTTTCTGGTTTTGAGTTTTTTTTATTTGAAGTCGTTAAGATGCTAAAAAAACTAATGACATATTTAGACTTAAGGGTGTTTTCGACTTTTCACACCTGTAGTTTGACACTGTTAGAGCTCAATCTGACGACAGTGGCATGGAGGAAAAAAGTTGGAGCAGTGGCGCTGAAGTCCGCCGAACTTTTTCAGTGGCTCACAGGGGACTGCGATCTTTTTTAATGGCTCACGAGGAATTCCTCCTTTTCCTTGCCCCTCTCTCCTCCTATGCGCTCGTCCCCTTCTCCTTCCCGTGCAGGTGCCGCACCGCCACTCCATCCCCTCCGCCGCCTCCCTTCACCCTCAACGCCTCCCTCTGGCCCGGTCACCGTCTTCCCTAGGCCAGATTCGCTGGAGGCGGGCAAGTCCCTACCGGATCTGGCCGTCGGTGGCCTCCACGATCGCACGCCTCCGTACCGGTGGTTCCCTCCCCCAGTGCAAGGCTCCAGAGCTCTAGGACTCCGCCCCGCCGCCCACCGGATCTCTAGAGCCTCTCGGCGGATCTCTGACCTCTAGGACGCCGGATCTCTAGACGCTCCAGTCGGCCACCAACAAGGCTCCAGGTTACGGCGCCACCCCCTCCGTCCGCTCGAGCCGCTCGGCGGCGCCCCCTCCCCTCCGCACGAGCCGTCGACAGTTCATGTCTGCACGCGTCCCTTCCCTACGCGAGCGCCGATGCATCCCACCCCTCGGCGAGATAATCAGGAGTGCCATAATCTGGGTTGCCAAACACCCTGAAATGGATTCTTACAAATGAAGTTTGCTTTTTAATAAGTTTGCCTATCAAATGAGCGAGATTCAGATAAGTTGAAACAAACCGGGCCTAACTTGCTTTCCCATCCATACCACCTATAGTTTAGAGAAGAATAATTGAAGGAAAGATGATAATTTATATCTATTCTCTCTACGAAAATCTAAAACATAATGTAACAGAGGTCTACTCCAGTGGCCTCCATTTTAGAGCAACTCTAAGGGATTCTCTATATCCTTCGTAATGGTGAAATAGAGATTGCGTGCTCTCCCATGACCGCACCGCTGCGGCGTGCTCGCCGCGCGAGGCTACACCACCCGTCTGCCGTTATCGCCTCCACCTGGGCACCGCGTGCGCTCTATCGCCGGGGCCACATAGCTGTCCGTCCGTTGCCATCCTCCTTCAACACCGCGACCGCATAGGTAGGATCCCACCGTGCCGTGCTCCGCCTGCCTGACTGTCATGTTTTGCTGAAAGCACATGTTGCAAGCGTATGTTTCGAGTGTTTCATATGTTTCAGAGGTATCTACCCCCTATAATACACCAGTTAGAATAAATCTACACAATAAATGCATGCTCCACAGTTATGACCTATGCTACATCCACACCCATGAATGCACCCAGAAAATATAACACCATCAAAACGGATGCACCAGATTATCTCTTAGCCATTCTCTCTCATTACTTATCCAAATCCGACGGCTCATGTTTAGTGTGTCTGCCCTCCATCGCCCTCCCGTGGACCTCCCACGCGCATGTGCCTGCAGGTCAGGCTCGCGTTGATTTCGGTTGCCCCGTCCACCATCTCGATGAATCACGACGCTTCCTTCCCCACCACGGTTTCCGATCTCGCTCCCGGCCTCCGTTGCGCTCCCCCTCCGCGGCATCGCACCCATCACCACGCGCCCCATCTCCCACCGGCCCGCGCCTGCGTCTGCCCTCCTCTTCTCGCCCCCGCGCACCGCCGCGGCCTCACGACCCCCGGCCGACGACGTTCCCGACGGCCTCTTTCTTGACGGCCTCTTTCCCTTTCCCTCTCCATCCGCATCTCCCCTCCAAATCCTTCCGCATAGCCTCGATGATGGCGGCTGCATTGGCCCACGGCACCAGGAGACCAAAGGCCCGAGGAAAGAAGACGCGCCCTCCATGGTGCCCTCCTGCGCGGCGCCTACGTTGTAGGCCATCAGGGCCTCCCCGGTCCTACACGGCAGCAGAGGCCGCAGCCGCAGCCGCACCACCAGGAGACCAAAGGCCCGAGGAAAGAAGACGCGCCCTCCATGATGCCCTCCTGCTCGGCGTCTGCGTGGTACGTACGCCATCAGGGAGTTCGCATCCTGCACGGCGGCAGAGGCCACAGCCGCATACTCTGATCCCTCTCCACGTATAAAAAAATTTAGTCTTTCTCCTGCAGGTGCTATGCACGGCTTCCCCACAGGGCAACCAACTGCCGCAAGAAGTCTGGGCACAGGAACGAAGTGAGAACCATCAGTTTTACTTGTTCATTTAATAATTTAATTTGTTAGATCCTATATAGACTATATATGTCACTTTTCATGCTCATTGGTTTTAGTTGATGTTGATGCGTTGTCCATGTTTCTAGGTTTGTTTAGTCGTCTTATACAATACTTTGTTTCAAAGTTATTGTCAAGGTCATTGCATTAGCATCGCTGCTATGAGTAGTCATTTCTTTCATATTTTCTTGTCAGAATAATTGGATTACGGGTCATCAAGTGTACTTTTGCCCCTTCGTTTGTATATTCTTGGTTTTAAGTGATCATAGTTTTTTTTTGCTTTTCCAGTCATAGTATCTATAACAAAATAGACTTTTAATTGATGATGAGTTTACTGCTCTGCATACTATATCTGCAGTCATACTTCAATTACTGTCAGCACATTTGCCATTTGGTCATTCTTTCATCTAATATGTGTCCTTTGATTTTTCAGTTGAGGTCAAAGAAAAGGTCATTGTCCAAGATTGGTGAAAAATGATCGCTGGAGAGCCTTGTCATGCATGACGCATCAGATGGAATTTCAGGTGCTTAATTAATGGACTTTACTTTAATTTCTGCTTCTTTGATGAATGAAGTTGTAGTAGGATAAAGTGTGCTGCAATTAGTAGAGATGTTTCTATATATAATTATTATTATTATATTCATTGGACATAAGTGAAATATATCTACATGTATATGGCAGGATATCATAGTGCAGTTCTTTGCTGCGGTTTGCTTGCTCGGGTCCACCACCGTATGTCTGATCCGTGTGTGATGCCCCCGTGAGATATCTCTACATGTATATGGCAGAATATCATAGTGCAGTTCTTTGCTACGGTTTATTTGCTAGCTCGCGTCCACCACCGCGTGTCCAATCCACGTGTGATGCCCTCGGCACAAACCCGTCATGCTTCTTAATTATCATCAAGTTCCTCATCAAGCTAACCAGAGGGAGGAGGATCCTCGAAACATGCTCGATTATAGCCTCATAAATACACTGCCATCTAATTTACACAGTCCAGATGGCATTTACCGATTTACAAATTTTAGAAGTCCTCATGGAAATACTGTTTAAAATATCAAGGGTTTAAGAATCAATGGTTTGTTTGTCGAACAAAATGAGTTTTTATCCAGCTGAGAGCTCTAATATTCACACTTGACCGTAATAATAAGTCCAAGTAGCAATATTGCCTTCTTTAAAATAAACTTGACCTATAGGAAATGAATTCAAAATGTCAAGGTTTAAGAATCAATGATCTGTTTGTTGAATAAAAGAGTTTTTATCCAGCCGAAAACTCTAATATTCACACTTGACTAAGAGATATGGGATGCTTCAACAGTTAATTTAAAATAAGCTTGACCTAGAGAAAATGAATTCAAAATGTCAAGGGTTTAAGAACAAATGATCCGTTTGTTGAATAAAAAGAGTTTTATCTAGCTGAAAATTCTAATATTCACACTTGACCAGCCTAAATAGTTAATTTGGCCCGCTCTTGAGGGGCAGGAATTGATGCATTTGCTTAATTGTTAAATTGTATGTACAAATATCAATTAAGTTTTTAAGCCTCTTGAAACTTCCTTACCAAAGTTTGTCCTTAATTATGTTTACCGACTATTTGGTTAAAATTCATTTTACCATGGAACATAATTTATTAAGTGTGCGTATATAATTCTTCTATTGTGAATAAAGTTTTATGATACACGTGAGTGCCGCACGTGCAATTGATACTCAAATTTGCTCACTGAATTTGTTTTCCCTATCCAAAGAGCCTCTATCCATT